TGGATCGTCCTGGGCTCTGCCAGGGCTCTGCCTGGATCGACCGGGGCTCTGCCTGGGTCAACCGGGGCTCTTCCGGCGTCATCCGGAAACGAGCATGATCCGTAGCTTAACCTGGGCTCTGCCTGGATGATCCGGAGCGCATCCTGGATGGTAAGTAGGGAACTACCGTAGTGCTGCCGGGGTAAATGTGACTGCAACAATAATTTCATCCCGGATCGTCCCGGATCATCCAGGCAGAGTAACTTACCGGGATGGTCCTGGGCTCTGCCGGGAGTAAGTGAGACCGAGGCTTAAACGACTAGACAGTTGTTAAATATTAATTTCTTTTTTCTTTTGAATACAATCATTATTATCGTCAATATTACAGTACACATAGTAACTGAGGTTGGTAAAAAACGGAACGAATGATCTCCTAAGTGTGTCTAATGAAATTGTCTCGTACGTGTGTTCAACGAAATTATCTCCTTAATTTGTCTTTGTTTGTTTTGGGTTTCACGTCACATCGACACAGTATAGGTCATATCGCGACGTTCCAGCTTTACTGGTGGAGGAAGACCTCAGGTGCCCTTCCGTGCATTATTTCAGGCACGAACGGGCACCTGAGTAGAACCACCGACGTTCCGTAAGCTAGCTGGATAGCTTCCTCACATGAAAGAATCCCAAGTCCCTGTCGGGATTCGAACCCACAGCGGTTAGGGGCTAGTGGTTTGAAGTCAACGACCTTAACCACTCGGCCACGGACGCCCCTAAATTTGTCTAATGAAATTATCTCCAAAGTGTCTTTAATGAAATTACATTTTAAATGTGGTTAATGAAATTATCACCTAAGTTTGTGTTATGAAATTATCTCCTGACTGTGTTTAATGGAATTTTCTCCTCAGTTTGTCTTATGAAATTATCTCCTAAGTGTGTTTTAAAGAGTTATCTCCTGAGTGTGTTTAATGGAATTATCACCTAAGTGTGTTTTATAACATTATCTACTGAGTGTGATAAATGAAATTATCTCCTAAGTGTGTTTTATAAAATTATCCCCTGAGTGTGTTTAATGGAATTATCTCCTAAGTTTGTCTTATGAAATTATCTCCTAATTGTGCTTAATGAAATTATCTCCTAAATGTGTTTAATGAAATTATCTCCTAAGTGTGCTTTAAAAATTATCTCCTAAGTTTGTCTTATGAAAGTATCTCCTTAGTGTGTGCAATGAAATTTTCTTATTTTACTCATTAATGTCTAACAACAATGAAATTAGAAACACTGCAATGTACCTGTTCTACGCACTAGATAAAAGACTAAGTTATTTTGATATTTTTCAATGAATAATGCAGGCGTCACACTGTCCCGAAATTGACACAAGATGGGCATACGAATATGAAATTTTTAATTTCGTGCGAAGATAGCCCCTAAATTGGTCGACAGTCTCTCAACAGCCCAAAACAAGTACGATTCCTACAGAAGGTCACGCGATCGCATCCGAGTCACACACGATTCATTACGAAGGTCACGCGATCGCATCCGATACACACACGAAGTCACCTCAAAGATGCAATTTTGTACCAAGTAGTTTACCAGCAGGACACACGAAGGTCACAGGATAGGTACACGACGTCGTATTTTGAGTACGATGCCTTTGTACGTGGTTACGAAGGCGTCAAGTGATCTTCACCTCCAGTTGGTATACAACCCTCGGCCAACCCGGCAAATTTCAGGTATCGTGAGCTGATTAAACTACGTTTTACCTTTATTTTGGCTCTGCATATTACTATCAAAACAATTCTTCTATGATAAAAGTGGGGACTTTGACTATGGTATAGTAAACTCTCCGCATTTAGATGGAGACGTACCGCATGCACATCTGGCGGGGTATATGTTTCTCAGTAAATTAGATTTTCTAGAGCTTTTAGCAACGTGAAGGATTTTAAGCTAAATATTTTCTTTACTAGCAAGCTACTCAAACAGGGCTACCGCTATTATAAATTACGTAAATATTTTACAAAATGTTACAATCGTAACTTTGATTTAATCTCAAAATTCAGTAGTGATTCAAAAATGATTTTAATGGAGATGTCATTGTAATTTGTCTGTGGCTTTTACTAAAATTTTATTATTAAACGTTTAACCAAAAGAGGTTTTGACCCTACTTTTTTAGATATACCGCATGCTTAGTGGTCAACACTTTAACAGTTGGTCCTTTCCTCTTTTAATTACAGCTGACGGACCAACTATACCGCATGCTTAGTGTTCAACACTTTAACATTTGGTCCTTTCCTCTTTTTATTACATCTGACGGACCAAGTGGGATACTTTATGATGGACAGTTCTTAATGCCATTTGGGACTGAATTGCCTTAATGTTCGTCTTCTGCCTTGCTTTGTCGGGCCCTTGTAAGTGATTTTTTGTTACTCTGTCTTCCTTTAAAATATTGAGTACCTTTGTTATGGTCATATGGGTATTCATTTATATGTATCTACATGATCATTTCGGTGTTTTACTTATTTTACCTTTTAAAAACATAACAACTGTTATAAATTAACTTTGCGGAGATTCATTTTATTTACACCGTCTCTTTTATAGGAACATGGTGGAGCTAAGAGCGAGGTTTGGTGCACCATTAACCGGTTTAAACTCCCCAGTAGTATTTATGCTGCTGACCGGTGTCCAAGGCGGCGCCCCTCTTTATTTCTCAGAAGCACGTCTTTGTTATTTCATACTGTTTTGGTGACACTTTTGCCGGTGTCCCTTGTTGTTTTTTCGTCTACGGTAAGTATTTACCCTTTTGTCCCCAGTTTTATTTATCTAATAAATCAATCATTTATTTGTTTTCTTTGATTTCCTTGTTGTTTACCATTTTTTTCACCTTATGTATCATATAAGTGATAAGCCGATCCGTGCTCTACCTTGCGCCCTGTCCTTTTTTCAAGGGGGGGGGGTCCTTTTGTGTTACTTGGTTCTTGTTGCTGGGTCATGCGGGTGTTGCGTTCATTGAACGCTGACTTTCCTTGTTGATCTTGTTTATCATATTTGATAAAACTTTATCATACCACCCAAGGTGGGCCTGTAGGCCTCATCATATTTTCTAAGGTGTATTTAAAGTAGCAGTGCTGCTGCCTCCTTTTTATCGGTTTACTCATCACCAAAGCATGTTATTCTGCAGGTAATAAACTGAAAATAATTGTAAATTGATAGTAATAAATACATAATGGAAGCTTTTGATGTCTCCGTAGAGATGTGCAAGAGTGACAGATGAGAAAAATGGTCTAGCCGTTCATATGTCCACCATGATAAACATGCAGCGCTTGAGACATTAAAAATTGCTTACTTCGGCCTCATCGTGGTCCCTTCTCAATGACATCGTACCAAAATACGATGGTGACACGACGGTATTGCGGGGGCTTCACGTAGTCGTGTTCCCTTTTTAAGACTATCGGAAATCTTCGTATTTACTTCGTTTTGTCTTCTTGAGGCTAAAAATGTCAGATTGCACCGATGATCACACGAAGAAAAGACGAAGACTACACTATTTGACAAGATGGCTTCACGACAGCCTTACGAAGGGCAAAATTGACATACGAATTCAACACGAAAATGGACCTTCGCAATGTCTTCGGACAATTTTTTGGCATGCCAAAGATTTTGGAACCTCTCACAAAGTAGCTGCCGAAGCTTGAAATATTTAGCCGGGGATCATACGATGGCAAAAGATGCCCTCACGAATGGCACGATGTTATTACGATCAGATCCGACTTTGAACATTTCCATATTCGTGTGTCCATCTGATGCCAAATTCGGGACAGTGTGACGCCTTAGTGAAATACGGTTAGTTTTGTATGTAATCATGTCTGTATCACTCATTGTCTATGTATTTATATTATATTGTATACGTATATGTGCCGGAGGCCTAAAGACTTATCAATAAAATCTTGAAATATTGCAATGACATTATCTCCTAAGTGTGTCTAATTAATGTAACTCTCCACGGTTTACTGTGGTTAACTCATTTACTAAGACATTTTCCAATTTGTAGTTTTTGTAATATTGTAAATTGAACTGTGATTTATGCGTAAAGCACATGATAAGAAAAAATACCTTTCACGATTTATTTCTTATCCCTATAAGTATATATACATTGTATACAAATGTTAATTATTAGTAATTTGGCACTATGTGTTATAGTTACAACACCAATATTGCACGATGTCTTAAAACAGACAGTAATTTTACAAGGAATATAAAAAATGTTATTTTATCAATTATACTTGCGTCTATTTGAATAAAACACGTTATTTCAGAATTTGATATCAATTATATTGGGGTCTATAGACCCTTTCATTAAAGCGATAACAGTCGGGAAGAGTTACTTCCCTTACCGGATGTGACGTAAATGGGGGATAAAACTATGCAGGCCGCATAGAATGTAAGCTTATTGAAAAGTCAAATGCGTAAATGCTGATCGTTCAATTATGATTATAACAGTAAAAGTTTACGCATGCATACATAAATTCAATATCAAGACAATAGGAAATATACAAAAACAAACATTGAGATAAATTCTCGCTACGGAGTGAAATAGCGAAATTTCAGTGACTAGATCTATATTTATTAGATCAAGATTTTCTGTAACACCAGGATAAAAAAGGTAGTGACTAAATCAAATTTTAATATTTTATAAACACCCATACACATTGAAATCGCCTATTATAAATTTAAATGGCCATTTTCTACTTTTCTTGGTTATTTTCTGTCATTTAGAAAAATCAGGCGTATAATGTGACAAACATGAAAATAAGATTGTCAATGTATTTTAATGATCGTTTTTCAAGCTTTAGTAGAACAAAATCAGAATGCATTCTGTCAATACTTACTGATTCTTTTTCATTAGGCCATATAAAAATGTTTCAAAGAATCAGCGAAGGATATAATTATATAAATATTGTGGAAAGAACGAAAACCATGTGGCATTGACTTTTATAATTTTAGATTCGCAACAGACAATAATAAGATAATTTTGATATTAAAAATCTATTTTTATTGTTAGAAAATAAAGACCTTTTCCATGTAACTTATTTCATAGATAAATAGATGTGTATACATAAGCGCCACTGGGCCGTAACATATTAATTAACAGGGTGCATATGTTGTATATACAAGCGGCTTTTGGCTGTGATATCATAAATCACCAGGGTGTATTTTTAGAGTTATAACATCACATCAGATTACGTCACTTTTGTTAGTTGTCAAAATATTTATGGTCCGAATTTTGTTATGGATCATCCTAGGGACTTAATAAGTCATGCCTTACTGATTTGATACTCGATCCAGAGTCCTACCAACTGGCACAGTCAAAAATACGTAAAATTATAATTCAGTTAATAACGAATTTCTGTGAACGTGTTACACAATTTTTTTTGTAATGTGTTTTTTTTGTGTGTTTTTTTTTTTAAATATTTGATAAGCAGAGTATGAATTAAAAAGTATCAAGTTGAAAAGTTGAACTGTATCCCCCAATGACGTCGTCCAAGGGCGATAACTTGAATACGGTCTTAAATGAAAGGGTCTATATACCGGTATATTTTAACACACTTTATCAGCATTTGATATCAATTATACTTTAGTCGATTTATATTGTAGCACATTATTTCAGCATTTGATATCAATTATACTTTAGTCAATTTATGTTATAGCACATTATTTCAGTATTGATATCATTTATACTTGAGTCTATGTACATTGTAGCACATTATTTCAGTATTGATATCAGTTATACTTGAGTCTATTTACATTGTAGAACATTATTTCAGTATTGATATCAATTTTACTTCAGTCAATTTATATTGTAGCACATTATTTCAATATTTGATATCAATTATACTTGAGTCTATTTACATGGTAGCACAGTTTTTCAGAATTTGATATCAACTATACTCGAGTCAATTTACACTTTTGAACATTATATTTCTTTATATATGATACTGTATATGACGATTTTTTGTTTGTTTGGTGTCATTATATATATAGTATCACAACGTATAGATATCTATGATGATTTCACTATACAATATCAACAATGAGATATCAGTTTAGTTACACACCATTAACACTGTCCAAACTATCAGCGTAACTGTATTTTCTCGGCATTTCCCCTAGATTGTAATTCATCTTTCTTGATGACAATGGTGTATCAGACGTGACAATACTGTCCTCATTAACCCCAGGTAAACAAGAGAACATCGCCTTTAAGCTTCCACGAAACTTTTCAGACAAAAATCCATAAATGAACGGATTGATGAAATTGTTAATGAGAAATAAACAATCTGCGATTTCACCAAAATGAGTTCGAAAATCACTAGGTGGATATACATCTCGTCCAGCAAGTTTTAAGCATTTATGTATAAGTCTCGGTAATGGAAGAACAGCCGCCATTACGATAACAACAACAACTATTTTTGACATGCGCTGTATCGACATCCGGGTAGATTCAGTTGTTGTGACAGTTATGGAACCTTTGACCAGAAATATTTTCAAAATATGAAGAACGCATGTTATAATCAATGGTAAAAAGTAAACCGATAGCCATAAAAATAGCAAAAATTCCTGGGATCGTCCAGCCAGAATAATTCGTGCTCCAATAAGTGTTGTTAGACTTCCTGTAATTATTATTCCAATCATCCACACAACTACAGACGATATTATCACCTTTTTAATTGTTAGAAACGCATTAGTTCTCAAAGGATAAGCCAACGTAATATACCTCAAAACTGCCAGCAAAGCTACGTGTGTATTTGCTGAGAACCAGAAAATGGATTTCAGAATATAATATGGTGAACTAATTATAACTGGAGATGAGCATGTGACAGATAAGATAACTCTTTCAAATGATGTTGTCAGATTTAGAGTAAGAAACAGTAAATCAGCAATAGCTAAAGCTGCTATAGCAACAAACGTCGGGTCATGTAACTTCCGGTCACGAATGACTCGTGTTATTACAAACACGTTTGCCACTATTCCAATGATAAACAATGTCTCAATGGCGCTGTATATACATGCTGTGTCGCAGTAACCACATGAAAATTTTTGGTAACTAGCGTAACTTCTCCTGTTGCCACCACCACGTGAAATATTTCCCGCGTGGCCGCCATCTTGTGTTATATTTCCACAAGACGAATTTAAAACATCCACCGGATTCTCCCTCCTTGCTAAAGTAACATTGTCTAAGACGCCATTTGTTTCACACATTTTTGTTTAATGTTTGTGACTTATTGCAGTAAACACAAAGACCTACTTGATACCCACTCTTCATGAAGTATGTGTCCACTTAAAATTGTTCTTGTAAGGCCGTTTGCACACAAGTCATGGAGTTTTGTTTTCCGCTGTCGAAAACTGCTTGCATTTTATTTTTCAACATACCCAAATAATCCTTCTCACAGCGGCTTTAGTCGCTCTATGATATTCCCACCATTTATAATGAAATTCATCACATAATTTATCTTCATTGACACAAATATTTACACTAATTAACTCATTGTATAAACTGTTCATACACTGTTTAATACGCAGATATAAAACATTTGTTTATAAAATAGCAAATAGGCCAGGCGTATTCTCTCTTGCTTACTCTTCATAAAGCATGGCACGTAAATCAAGTTAAACTACTGACAGATTATCTATCCCGCTGTAATTTTTGTTCAACTGGTGTATTTTTGTAACGATATAAATGTTTCAAGAACAAAAAAGTTCCAGATAAGTTCAACATCTGGAAGTGTAGTAGCTCTTATACCTGGAAATGAAGGTAAATGTTGCGATACAGCTGATGTGTACTCATCAACATGTATATACTGTATGTCAGTTCTCTCTCAATAAACCCCCTTGCCCCCTCTCTATCCCCTTCTTTCTCTCTCTGATTAATCCTTTGGTTTTTTAACTAAACAAATCATAATTATAGTTGATAAGAATATTTAATATGTATATACAGTATTAAGCAACGTATTAGTTGCGATGTAGTATCAATACAAAATTTTATGTAAGAATGAAATCAAATTGATATCATTTTAGTAAATTTAGATATCAAGCAGAAAATGTCTATTTTGTGTGTGATAGATATTTTGCATATTATTCTCATTAATACTGTGATCGACGAAACATTTACCCAATTTATGTATGCAAAAATATTCAAACACATTGTGAAACTCAGAATTTCTACTGTACATGGTACGATTTAATGCATAATTTTTTATTGTCTCTTGCGTCATTTGTTGGAATATCTTTTTTTCTTATTTAAAGCAGCACGCCTCCAGATTCATGTTAATTTCATGAAAATTTTGGAAATGTATTTAAAAGTAAAATATTGTGAGATGAACAAATAAAGCAATTCATACATTGCAATCGGTACTTAGTATCAAAGAAAATTACCAAAAAGTTGTCAGCATATGCAAAACCAACCCTTACTGCGTTAGTAACGCAGTAGAAATATGGTGATTAAATGCAGTATTGTATCACCATATTTCAGTCTTAAACTACATAGATCATGTAAAGTATCGCTTGAATCTTGAATGATTTTGTCTTTCTTCAATTTTAGTACATTTTTCTCAATATTGATTTTCTTGAAAATTTTTGCTCATCTGGAGGCGTGCAGCGTCTAAATTTGGTAAACAATAAAAAATTAACAGTTTTATTTCAGAGATTCACCTATACAAAATCGTATTGCGTTGTTCATATCAGATATATGATGACACGACATTATACGTACTAATAATAAAACAGTTTAGGAGCATTACGTGTTTTGTTGAATAAACTTACCGGAATTACATTTAATAATAAAGGAATCATGTTTATCTTACCTATTTTGATGGTAAATTAGATTTGATAATAAAGTGTAGATATTTTTTGTATATAATGGCTATATTTTAGTTGTGGTTTATTATAGACATGTTTATATGAAATGACGATACGTTAGCTGTGGTTAAGTGTAGACAAGTTTATATGAAATGACGATATTTTAGCTGTGATTTAGTATAGACAGTTTTATATGTAATGACGATATTTTAGCTGTGGTTTAGTATAGACAGGTTTATATGAAATGACGATACGTTAGCTGTGGTTAAGTGTAGACAAGTTTATATGAAATGACGACATTTTAGCTGTGGTTTAGTATAGACAGGTTTATATGTAATGACGATATTTTAGCTGTGATTTAGTATAGACAGTTTTATATGTAATGACGATATTTTAGCTGTGGTTTAGTATAGACAGGTTTATATGTAATGACGATATTTTAGCTGTGGTTTAGTATAGACAGGTTTATATGTAATGACGATATTTTAGCTGTGGTTAAGTGTAGACATGTTTATAAGAAATGACGACATTTTAGCTGTGGTTTAGTATAGACAGGTTTATATGTAATGACGATATTTTAGCTGTGGTTAAGTGTAGACATGTTTATATGAAATGACGATATTTTAGTTGTGGTTTAGTAAACTCAGGTTTATGTGTAATGACGATATTTTACCTGTGATTTAGTACAGACAGGTTTATATGTAATGACGATATTTTAGCTGTGGTAAAGTGTAGACATGTTTATATGAAATGACGATATTTTAGTTGTGGTTTAGTACAGACAGGTTTATATGTAATGACGATATTTTAGCTGTGGTTTAGTATAGACAGGTTTATATGTAATGACGATATTTTAGCTGTGGTTAAGTGTAGACATGTTTATATGAAATGACGATATTTTAGCTGTGGTTTAGTATAGACAGGTTTATATGTAATGACGATATTTTAGCTGTGATTTAGTATAGACAGGTTTATATGTAATGACGATATTTTAGCTGTGGTTAAGTGTAGACATGTTTATATGAAATGACGATATTTTAGTTGTGGTTTAGTACAGACAGGTTTATATGTAATGACGATATTTTACCTGTGGTTTAGTGAAGACATGTTTATGTGTAATGACGATATATTAGCTGTGTTGTATTGTAGACAAGTTTATATGTAATGACGATATGTTAGCTGTGGTTAAGTGTACACATATTAATATGTAATAACGATATGTTAGCTGTGGTTGAGTGTAGACAAGTTTATATGTAATGACGATATGTTAGCTGTGGTTGAGTGCAGACAAGTTTATTTGTAATGACGATATGTTATCTGTGGTTAAGTATATATAGGACGATATGTTAGCGTGTTTAGGGTTAGAATCGTGTTCTTTTTTATATGAATTCAACATGATCGTGTCATGTAGAAACAACTTGTTCCGATGATCGCAAAGGTTTACTTTGATTCTGACACTAGCAAACTGTAGCCTAGGAAATATATTTACATTGATGCTCTATTTGTTATCCATGAATTGTATTGGATTTTTGACAGGCCTGTGAAAAAAATTTAAAGTAGATTAATTGCATCAGCACCTTTATTTCCCGAGGGAGCAGCAGCCGTCGCACAAATCATTATACAGAAAATGCACTTGGTTTGAGGGTAAAACTGAAGAAAAAGACAACAAACAATAAAAAACACAAACAAAAAGCCATTTTTAAAGATTCGTAATAAGTATGCTTTCCGAGTAGGAGATAAATTATGCTTGTTTAGAAGAAAACAATATAATGGCCCTTATTTCTGATGAAACACTACTCCTTGTATTTAAGTGGACAATGTGATACTTTCCGGAAATAAAATGATCCTATTTCCGTTCAATAAAAAAATTGTTGTTTCATATCAAATACAGAGGTTCTTAAACGCACTTTATATAAACCGGAATATTTCGCTAAACTTAGTCAAACTTGGGAGCGTATTTTTATTTTGTTTTGTTTGTTTTGGGTTTTACGTCACATCGACACAGTATAGGTCATATCGCGACGTTCCAGCTTTACTGGTGGAGGAAGACCTCAGGTGCCTTTCCGTGCATTATTTCAGGCACGAACGGGCACCTGAGTAGAACCACCGACGTTCCGTAAGCTTGCTGGATAGCTTCCTCACATAAACGAATCCAAAGCCCTAGTCGGGATTGTCCCACAGAGGTGAGGGGCAAGTGGTTTGAAGTCAACGACCTTAAGCCTCAGTCTCACTTACTCCCGGCAGAGCCCAGGATCATCCCGGTAAGTTACCGGGATGATCCGGGACGATCCGGGGTGAAATTATTGTTGCGGTCACACTTACCCCGGCAGCACTACGGTAGTTCTCAACTAACCACCCAGGATACGCTCCGGATCATCCAGGCAGAGCCCAGGTGCAGCTACGGTTCATGCCGGTGCTTCCCCGGTCGTTCCCGGATGACGCCGGAAGAGCCCCGGTTGACCCAGGCAGAGCCCCGGTAGAGCCCAGGACGATCCAGGCAGAGCCCCGGTAGAACCCCGGTGGATTGAAAACGCCCGAAAATGATAATATTGATACATAATTTTTATTTTATATAATATCTATTGTTCCAGAATCGTTCCTGTAGGTGTGTGAATAACAATTAAATATACCATACAGTTTATCATCAACATATAATAATATTTTACAGTAAGTGTCATCATTATATTATTTATCTTACTTTCCTACTATTTTATCTCTCAAATAACAATGCCTTAATAATTTGATGAACTTCGCGCTGTTATAAAAGTTTGTCGTAATTAATCTTTGCTGTTTATCACTTTTAAACTCATCATGACCTACATTATATCTATTGCATAAAATTGTTGACACGCTTTAATAAGTACAACAACAACAACATAAATCATCATCAACAACAAGAAAAGATGAGTAACATCAAGAGTAGGCCGTGTCTACACCTATTCAATTTTCTTACATGTCACATTTAGATAAGCTAAATAAATGGCCCTTTCAACATTTAATCAGGCACAATTTTTACTGAAATGTCTAATTAAGATTGCCCAGGATTTATAGCTTTGTCATTGCAATACTATCATGTTTCTGTAAAATATGTGAATAAAAAGAGCGGGAAAATGATGCAATTAGCTAAAATGAAACTGAAATGTGTACATTCCTATAAAAAAAATGGAAAATGTGAGAAAAATATTTTTGAGCTGATTAATTGATGGAAATTCTTTATTTGATGAATGATACTCACTAAATAAAGAAGATCATTTAAAATCCATTTTGACTACTTGAAAAACATATTTTTTTTTTGCTCTTCTGTGTATCAGTGTATTGATCTGTTCCTCTGACCAACATATTGTATACATTTACTAAAATTTACAGATCATGAACACTGAATCAGTAACAAAAAAGTCAGAAAATAATGAAAAAAAACAACACTATCACACCTTCGGGGCACATGTTTTGTGTATCAGTGTCTTGACAGCCAAAAACTTGTAGAAAAATAGAACGTGTTCTAACTTTCTTGCAAGGAATTATCTTCTTGGATGTCACATTACTCCTCTTTAAAACTAATTCAAGTAGGGTGTCTACACTATGCAACACAAGAGAATATGATACTTGCATTCAAGACTTGGATAGGTGTAGACGGGCCCACAACAATAAAAACCACCATCAACAACAAAAACAACAAAACACATTAATTACTGCTCACTGAAACATAACTTGTCAATAAGTCATTAACTCATTCTTTGTTAAGTGTGATATTGTTATGCATTTAAAGCAATTAAGAAACCAAAAATAATTAATCATAAAAATTTAACACAG